AACAAGACAAAAATGCGGGTAACATCGTGTGGAAAGAAATCTCTTCTTGGAAGAAGTGTGGTTCTGAAAAGAACCGGTCGGTTGAGTGTAGAACTCAACTTTTCGGACAGTGTGCTCTGTCTGTCCTCAGGATATAACAGTTATTCACATTTGAATGAGACATTGAACAAAAATCCACCATCGTTGAGTTTATTATTTCTTCACAAACTTTGAATTCTTGACTTTGAATTCTCTCACAGCGCAGGGCGGGTTATTTGTGCACAAAATGAAAGCCCTTTTTTTTTTAGAGGAATGCAGATGCCCCCAAATCAGAATGAAACAGTTTTGCGGTAAAACATCAAAAACAAACCAATTTTTTTTTTAAGAGCATGGGTACATCATCTTTAAATACAAATTCATATTACAGTTGGAAAGCATTTCTCACTGATATTTGATGCATGTTATTTCACATTGGGACTTGAAGTTAACACAGACATTTTTTTAATCAAGAACTGAAGAACACTGTTGGGAATTTATTTTTTAATGGCATTATTTTTTTTCATATGATATTGTAATGGATGGTCTTAAGGCCAAAAAAAAAAAATGTTTTGCTTCCGCTAACATGGCATTTGAAAATAGGGTAGGTAGGTCGGGAATTTTTTTTTGGCCAATTTTTTTTTGTGCACGATCATATGGAGGTGTCTGCGTGTTGTCAAGGGTGAAAGGTAGAAAGTGATGGTGTTCAGGGTTTTTCCCCTCATTTTGCCCATATAAAAAAATTAGGGTAGGGGCTGTCAGAATAGGGTAGGTAGGGAAACCAGAAGCAGAACTATTTTTTTGGGCCTAACAAGCTGTCCAAAGAGTATACTGACTAAGTTATTGTTGAAAATTATACTTGGTTTAAATACAGTAATGGCACTAAACTCCCTGTGAAATTATTCCTTCTGTCCTGCTGTCATTTTGAAGAAAACAATAAAAGAAGGCCATTTCCAAAGATGCGTCAAAAGATGCATTTTTGGAAGTTTCTGTTAGTACTGGCAGCTCGTTTTAAATTCGGCGAAGCTGTGAATAGGCGCGCGCAACCATTGACACGATGCACACGTGCGCGTGCGCGGTTGCTATAATTTGTCGGTTCAGTGTGTGATTTCGCGTAGCTGTATTCGGCCGCATGAGAAAGTGTTCTGGATGTTGATTTGGGCACAATTCAAACATGACTCGGCAGCTTTTGAATTGAAATTGAGATTCTGGAACATGTTTTCTATATACAGCATTCAGTGAGCTAAGACTTCATCAGGTTAGTGTTAAGCACCCCTCTTTAGATTTTGAGCACTTTTGTTGCTTCAAATAAACAAAAAGCTCAAACCACAAATAATCCACTCTATCTTTAAGTTCACACACTGGACAATCACAACATGATACTTGTCGTATAAGGCCCTTTCACAGAATCCCAAATCTCCGCGTTAGACCCCGGTCCAACACAGAGATTTCAGGGGACATCTTTCACACCAGCAAGAATCCAATCCTAGCTGGTTGTGTCCTTTCTCTTAGTTGTGACCTTGCTTAGTTCCCCGATGACCAGTGGTGCTTAAAGCCTTCTAGCCAAAGTGTATAGATTTCCTTCTCTTAAGAGATTGATCTAGTAAACTGGACAGCTGAATTTTCCACATGGATTACTTGCTTAGCCTTTTGATACTCCGAAAGAAGCTTTTGTGAGTAAAAAAAATCCTCTTCCCCCCCCCCCCCCTATTTTTTGTTTGCCCTTTTTCATAAATTGACCCCAGGTCTCCAGAGTTGATAAATTTAAATTTGTAGGGCTGTTTGTTCATTTATGCTGATGCAAGGCTCGATAAAAGCTTTTGGAGGGGAGCATTTCTTTGGAATTTTTTTATCTGCATTTTTTTTTTTTGCTATTGGGTTTCCCCTTCACTGACACGTTTTTATTGTATAATTACTGTATACTCAGTGTTGTCCTGGGTAATCACTACTTGGGTGGGACTCGAACCCACAACCTCCTGCTTACTAGTTCAGACGTGTTACCACTTGACTACCGAGCTTGCTGGGGTCGGCTGGATGGTTCTAACCTGATATAGCAGCGGGTATTACTATACCTCATACATATTCATGATCGAGTGCCGAACTCTCACTGGTCAATTCACCATCACGTGCCAGATGTTATTCTTGCTGTTTAACAAACGCGCGCGCGAGGATTCACGCACATTGTAAATACGCATGCGTAGTAGACTGTCGCATGGGTTACCCGTGCGACAGTCTACTACGCATGCGCATTACAGAGCAATCGAGGAACTGTCGCACGGGTGCAGTACGCACGCGCGAACATCGCACAGGAGAGATGCATGGTTGCACGATTCGCGTAAATGTTAATTTACAGAGCTCAATGATGCCGTACTGGAAAAAATGTATAAACCGTGTAAAGATGTCTCCTGTACAAAAGAAAGTTGTACACATTGCAAACAACTGTATTTACAACTGTAGTAACTGTGTTATATTGCAAACGAACCGAACTAGTAATTGAAGTTGAATCTTTTGGTGAGCTGTAAAAAGTTTCCCCAAATTTTGTTTTAGGTGCATAATAATAAAACAAAATTCGGCAACTGAATATGTATGAGGTATAGTAAAACAAATATAACATGGTTTATTTCGGGTGGACAGTCGATATTAGCTCCCCTCGGTATTGGAAGTTGACAAACTAGTTCCCTCTGCTTCGCCTCGGGAACTAGTTTGTCAACTTCCAATACCTCGGGGAGCGAATATCGACTGTCCACCCTCAAACCATGTTATATTTGTATACTGCAACTAAAATATTCATAAAGAAATCGGGTGTCGCCCTTCTCTGACGTGTTTTTAAAAAATACGTCGGTGGAGAGCATAACCCATAATTGAATTTACATCACCCCGACGCAAAATTCCAACTGTACGAATATAAAGAATATTTATCAGCCTTGATACCACGTGAGGTTGTGATGCTTTTAGTTTTGAAGCTTTCATAAATTCCAATGTCCAAGTTTGCATGGAATTGCCCGCAAGTGGTAGTACCCTCTGGGGAAAAAAAATCAGCTGCTTCCAAACACGCATAATTGCGAGCCGTAGTCGTGCAGCTTTTTAGACAATACTTTGTTCAATTACTGACATGCCGTGCATGTAAATATAGATCAGTGCTTCCTGAATTAAACAGCGGCAGTGCCAGTTGCCCTAGAAACAAGAAGCCCTATGTTACAAACAACGCAGGTTTTTTCCTTGTTTCCTCCCTCTACCATGGCCATTTAATTAAAATGGTTGACAAGCCCCCAATCACAGTAATGAAGTTTGGTGTTTGCAATGATCTACACGTACATATGCACAAATCAGTTTTTGTGTTTTCAGAAATCTCCTCCTAATGGAGCAATGCATTTCTGAAATTAAGCATCCATTTCCCATGAGACTTTTGAGTACAGTTGTTGAAAAGCATTTTGTATGGCATTTGTCATTGAAGTTTGAACGCTTTTTTGTTTTTATTGTTGTATGACAAATTGTAGTATAAATTGAAAGTGATTTTTGCTGGGCCGGTTTTAAGACTTTAAATGTCTGAGAATAACAGTGTGATGTCTGCCCTACATTGCATTTGTGTCATCTTGGTGCTCGTCCGGATGAACATTAATTGCAAACTGTATATGTACATGTGTGTACATGTTTCAGTATGCGAATGTGTGTGACAGGCTGTATGTACTGCAAACTGGAACTCTCATGAGTACGCACACAGGCCATCTACCGTGCATGCAGTAAGCAGTTTGTCCAGAATGGGCGGTTTCTTTTGGGGTATTAAATTGAGGAGACCACAAATTCCAGCGAACGCAGAGTACAGGGTGACGCCGCTTGGCATTTTGCGATGGTTTGATTTTGAGTCACAAGCACAAGTCGCAACCGAGTTTTATTTTATAATACAGCAGATGTTTAATACAGCAACACATGTTTTTTTTTATCCATTGTCTATGACACGCAACGGGTGAATGACCGGTGCCCTGATATAGAAAGCGCTCACTGATAGGTCAAAATCTAGGAGGTCAAGAGGCCGGGTCTTGCCTAATTAATTAGCGAATCTGTTCACGCGTAAAGACTACCAGTTAATAACCAGGAAATATCTAATTCTGTAGTTGTTCTGTAATTTCCAGGGGAAATTTGGAGAGTGTTTTGTCTGATATAACTGCAGGATTTCCTTGAGGTCATGGGTCATGCACCTTTGACCTTGTGATTTTCCAAGGTTATTGGAAACTCATTTCTAGGTCCCCGTCCTAGGCTTTCACACTATCCAAAATCTTTGTGTTGGACCCGGGTTGAACACGGAGATTTAAGCAACCCCTTGAACAATTCAACATGGCTCCTACACAGGTCTGGCGTTCCACAAGAGTAAAATCCTACCCTGGTTGAGAGTCTCTACCCGGCTAGAAAATTGAAATTTGTAGCTTACCCGTGTAAAAATTGGTAGTGTGAACGATCTCGGTGTTGTGCGTAATGCGGTACATCTTGTGGCTGTGACTTTTTGTCAGCTGTTGCTGAAAATCGAGCTACGTCGTACCGTCTTGACAGAAGAGTGGTTCCCGTTCCCTCAGTATTCTTTGTCAGTTGCACAGGGCGGGAACCAGTCTTGCCACGGTTCCATTGACTCGTACCTATGTGTAGTGTGGACGTTTGACGTGTTGCATATAAAAGTAAACCGGTACATGGGTAACATTGGGGGGAATCCCAAAAGGTGGTGTGAACGTTATTTCTTACTGACCCATGTTCAATCTTACCCGGGGTAAGCCATCGGCTTACACGGGTAGATGACATGACAGTGTGAAAAGCCCCATGGGACTAGTTGTTGGTTTGTCTTCAGTGTTTGTTTACATGTCTAACCAAAATCAAAACAAAAACCAATCAGGCGCTAATTTTAAATCTTTCTCGCAACTTAGAGATGTTGTTTTTAGTTTTGGAGGCATATTTAATTTGTCTTTTTTATTTATTTATTTATTTTTATTTGCATTCAGTACCTTTGTTTGCCCAACGGAGTTGATCGCTTTCAGTGACCGTGCCGACGAGTTCAAAGCCATCAACTGCGAGTTGCTGGCCTGTTCCTGTGATTCCCAATACAGCCATTTGGCCTGGTGAGTTCTTACTGCGATTTCCCCCGTGTCCTACGCAACCTTGTGTTGCACTCTTGATTTGAACAATTAACACATACGTTAGCTAGGCCTCTGCAAACATGCCGACCAGAACTGGAGTTATAACCCTAACCGCCCTGAATCCTTCAAAATCCTCTTTGCCAGTTGGAGGATTTTGCAGGATTCAGGCTACATCCTAGCAAAAAGGCCCAGGGAGTTAGGGATAACGTTGTTGAAAAATGGCAGCACCCAGTGTCAGCGTGTGGAAAGCCTTTTTAAAATTTAATTATAAAAAGATTAATTAAGAAGTGAAATCTACCGTCTGATATGTGAACTTTATCAGGGTTCGGCTTTAGCGGTAGCCCGCTAGCCAAATGCTAGTCGAAACAGCGGCGGGCTAGTCAAACTATTCCTCAAGTAGCCCGGCTGGCGAGTCAAAAATTATTGGGCTACGGCAAAGATGAAAGGACAGGAATAAATAAATCCTTAAATTCAGTTCAGAAAAGCAGACCTGTATCAATTTATGTCTAATTTGATCAAATGTTTGGGGGAAAAAATGATGATATGTTTATTAAAAAAACTAACAAGATTGCCTCAGGATACCCGTTTTACATGTATGCACATTGTTGTTTATGAGACACTCTATATAAGAAAAACAAGCGGGCTAGTGAAACTGCCGGCAGGCTAGTTAAGAGTCTGTTTCAGTAGTTCGTCTGACCAGTGAAAAAAATGTTAAACAGCGGTACTTGTTTTCAATTGGCCATATTAAAGGCAATTACATTTTATTCGATTGGAAAGAGGTTTTCGTTGTTGAAAAAATAACGGAATATACTCTCTGAGTATGTACAGATGTAGTTTGTTTAAAACCCTAACTCCCTAGGCCTTTTTGCTAGGATGCAGCCTCAATCCTGCAAAATCCTGCAATTGGCCTCATGGAAAAATAGCATATCCTGCAAATTCATCCATTATTTCTTGAACATGGTCCTTGGAGGGGTGACCACTGCCTGAATCCTGCAAAATCCTGTGGCATTGACTGTCAATATGTTGAGGCTTGGCCAGTGAAATCCTGGAGTATACACAACACAAGGTTTGGCCCAAGACCTTGACAAAGTTCATCCTACGAAATCAGTAACGCACTTTTGCCATGCAACCTCAATCCTCCAAATTCCTCCACTGTGGCAAAGAGGATTTTGAAGGATTCAGGGCAGTTAGGGTTTTAAAGCCGTGAATAGGGGATGCTTTGTGGGTTCAGTTTTTTGTGAGACCACCCTGTAGCTTCAAATTAATACATCGTATCCTGTCTCATTTTCAGGACGAACACGCCCCGTAAAAAGGGCGGCATTGGCTCGATGAACATGCCCATTCTGGCGGACAAGAGCTGCAAGATTGCCCGAGACTACGGTGTTCTCATAGAGGAAGATGGAGTCCCATTCCGGTAAGGAAAAACAAACTTCATTTACTAAATTCAAGATGAGCTCGTGCAACTTTACCATTTTAAGAATTAATTTCAATTCCATCCACAGTTCTATTTTGGAATATATACTCTTTGAAAAAAGAAAAATGAAAATTCTGCAAAGATTAACCCAACTGGGACCCCTATGTCATTCGGGGTCAATTATAAAGAGGTTTCAATTTAAAATGTGAAAACAGCAACATTCGAATTGGAAGCACTAGCAGCGAAATCCCCTTAAGAGACCAACAAGCTCGATCGGATCTCGAAGCAGCGGGCTAACAAATTCTTGTTCACCTTTTTTTTTTACCTTTGACCCCATAGCTGTAGGTCAGATGAAGAGGTCGCCATGGACAAATTTTAACATTTGACCAAGGTCAACATGTTGACAATGCATACTTTTGTAATTTGAGCTTGTTTGAAATTTGACGTCATTTTGACCTTAACCCCATGATGACCTTTGAGCGCAGTTTGGTCCTGTGACATGTTGGGGCTGGGCTACTGATACTTTTGACAAAGTTTGGTTGAAATCGGACAAAATATGTAGGATCAATGGACAATTTCAAGGTTTGTTACTAAGTACATGTAAGTAACTAATTAACTAACTAACGAAAACTAATGGAGAGACATGATGATTTGTTGATTTGCTACCAGCAGCTAACAAGTTTGGCATAGGTTTTCTCTGTTTCTCAAAATGTAAAGTAGCTACTGAGTTGAAACTTCGAATGATATACATGTACCGCTACATGCACAATAAGCAAATGATCCTACATGTAGGTGTCAGGCAACGCCGTTTTGTTTTGTCTGTTAGCTGTATGACAGTCAGTGTTAGCGACAGACGTCTTAGGATATATTTTCTTGTTTCTTCCAGCGGTCTTTTCATCATTGATGACAAGGGTAACCTACGGCAGATCACCATCAACGACCTTCCCGTGGGGCGCTCGGTGGACGAGACTCTGCGATTGGTCCAGGCGTTCCAATTCACTGACAAACACGGAGAGGGTAAATCAATTTCTGTACTTTTTCTGTCATGATGGGGAAAATGTGATAGGCCACATCCAATGTCTTTCTAAAAGGCAAAATGACGGGTAAAGAAACATAGAAGATGGAGTCACGCAAGCACGCATGGGTGGACATGTTCTACATAACCCCCCCCCCCCCCCAGGACCGACACACAAAGGGAGAACAACAGATCCTTAAAGTCCTCAGGAGTTGGGTCGTTTGTTGGAAACGGTAATCTGTAGTAAATTTGTGTACTTAGTCTATAGCCCGGTTCATACTCTGTGCGAAAGCGAAAGCAAGCGCGAATTTGTGACGTCATGGCAAGTATTCGCACTGTGAATTCGTTAAAATTGAACATAATTTAACTCGAGCGAACTTCGTAGCGAATGTTTCATGACGTCAAATTCGCTTCACATTTGCATTCGCATGAAGTATGAACCGGGCTTCAGGGAGAGTGTTATATTACAGGGACAGAGGGAAACACAAAGCAATGTCCTCAGGAGTATAGTAAAACACGACCATGTGGACATATGTATAGTAAATGGGCAGAGACCGTCAGTGTATCAATGAAAAATAAGAAAACAGAAAAGAAAAACGATGTTTCTGTCCTATTAGTTTTATGAGATATGAGATATCGATCCAGAATTTTAATATATTTCCATTTTTTTTCTCCCAGTTTGTCCTGCAGGCTGGCGACCTGGCAAGGAGACCATCAAACCGGATGTCAAAAAGAGTCAAGACTATTTCAGCAAGCAATAAATAAAATTAAAAAACTAAAAAAAAAACTTTTAGATAGGATTGAACAAGCATACATACTCCTAAATTATGTATGTATAATTGGCAGTTTAAATGAGGCACTGTATTGTTGTAGTTTGGTTTTGAAAGATTGATGGAAAAAAAACGTTGCTTGTATGAAACTTAATGTTATGTGTGCACTTTCCTTGCAGGGAATTTAGTGTGGTTTTAACTTGTAATGACATGTGGTAGCAAAGAATAAGCTGCATTGGCCTTCTTCCCACGGCAATGTGAAACACACGGTGGGCTTGAGCTGCTTAGGTTGGTTGGTTGGTTGGTGAGTTGGTATGGTTGGTTGGTTGGTGGACACTTTACTCGGGGTGTATTATACTGTTCCATGCCAAGCGTGTATCACAGCTTTGCCAGTGAGTTTCTATGGAATACCTACAGCCTTGTGACACTGATGCAGGGTTTGCTTCATTTGCTTAGAAGGGGGTTGAGGGCATTGTGCCCCCCCCCCCCCAGTCATCAAATTTGTCATTTTTGTCGGTAAAGTGTCACTGATGGCCAAAAGACGCTACAGAGCCATATATGGGGAGAGTTACAACAACTGTCAATTTAGGCTTATTTTTGGTCCAATATGGCTTGCATAGTGTACATATTTCAAAGGGACTTTAATTTGCACAGTTTCCAGTCTGTCTAAACTGTCTGTCGCCGTAATTGAAAATACGTTAAAAGTTACCCGAGAATCTCAGGCAAGAGTACTTTCTCATTACAACAGAGGGTTAATTGCCAAAGTTGGTTTTAGAATTTTGGAATTACGGACAAAATTCAGAAGTACAGCATGCGCTCAATGGAACATTCATGTATGCTGCACCAGTAACGTGAAAATTCAACCGAAGTACGAAATCATTTCAAAATCATTAAATATGCGATATTTGTGTGAAGTATATCCTTGATCCTCCATAAGCTGCGCAGGTAGCGCTTTGCAACGCGCGCACGTTGTCAACGCAAATTAAAGGCGAGTGCGTAGAAAAAGGATCAGGAGTGATTCGGACCCAGTCTATGGCTCTGAGGTGCCACCATGAACAGTGCAAAGATGATGTCCTGAATGAAAAAAAAATGATCAAGAGAAATGCGGTGGCTGCGACGTTTGTATTCAGTTGAATTTGCAACACTTCTCGCGATGAATCCATGATGCACAGTGCAGCATTTGGTGCTATATTTTTATCTGCGTAATAAGCAGAACTCAAAAGTCTTTCTAAAACAGCAAGCTCCTAGTACTATGAACACATTTTGTCAAGTAAGCAAGTTACCATTGCGAAAGTACCCCACAATTGTTTTGTTGAATTTTTGGTTGCGCACCGCTGGTTGGTTGTTAGAAAATGTTAAAGATTTGTACTTCATAAATTGTGATGTTGTTACCAGTGTGTGAGTCAGTTTTAGCTTTGGTTGTCGGTTTCAAATCCCATGCAAATGTCAATCCTTGTAAGTTATGGAAAAGACGCATTTAAAATACCGACTAGCATGTCTTGATGAAGCATTAACAAACAAATTTAAATCAAAATGTGAGATGATATTGATTTCTCAAGTAAATATTTTTTTTTTACCATAGTCACAGTACTGGGCTGATTACGCTGCATTTTCCTGAATGAAAAATGCAAAGGCAACATTTCTTCTGAAGCCTTAATTTGTCGAGCAGTCACGAATTGTGATTATAAAAACAGTTGTTTTCAGTTTGTAAGATTTTCTACCTAGTTTTATGTTGGCCCTAATATTCATGGACACCTTTTTTTACTTGCATTTCTACAAGTTTTAAAGTGTTACTATATTTTTCAGTACTTCAATAGCAGCTGTTATAAGCTTTTTCAAAACCTAATTCTCCAAAAAAAAAAAAAAAGCAGAAAGACAAAAATGTTTTCAAAATGTTTTTCAGGAAAGAATCATGTTTTTTTTGTTTTTCAATCTGCAAGCTTGAAGCTATTAAACTTTGCTCCGTTCAACATTGATTAACTGACCTTGCGCATCTTTTGATACCAAAAACATAAAAATTGGACCACGGGTTGCCGCGTAGCGAAAAAGTTTCTGGCGCTACGCACCGTGAAAACTGAATTTTCTCAAATACGTCGTGTACACAGAGCAGAATTACCATTTGTACATATGAATAATTAATTAGCCATAATTCCAAAACCCTTTGACCTATAGTCATGAAATTTCTTGGGTATGTTCATGATAAGTTGCTCTATGCATGTACCGAGTTGCAAAAAATTTCGTCACTCGATGGCCGAACTCTTGGGGGGGGGGGGGGTTGCACAGAACGCAAATAATCCTAAGTTGAGTCTGCTCCCGAACAACCAAAATTATGAGTGGTGTAATTGATTGCAATGACAATCAAGAGTATTTTTCCAAATGACCAATTTTATTGCTGGTAGGTGCCAAGGTTGGTTAAGTGCTTGACTTATTAAATGGAATCCATCCAATTTTAGTAACCGAACCATGAAGTGTGCATTATTGGTAAGCGGGTGGTGGAATATAACAATGCCGCTATCTAGTTTTACCATAATAAAGTAGCAGCCTTCCATTTTCATGGCCAATATGTGTGTTAGGTGTATTTGTTTGTTAATCACAATATAGGGTTGTTCATAATTGTTACCACGGATAGTGTGTGTCGGAAAACATGGGTCAGATTGCCAATAAAATGAGATTTGGTACTGGCCACAACTTGCCTGCATGGTGTGCGTTTGTGTTTAATAATAATAATACCGGAGTCCTATATTGCGCACGTGTCTACCAAATTAGGTACTCAAGGCGCTGGAAATTGTCTATTATTAGAGACAGGTGAATGAAGTTTATGAGAAATATGAGACCCATTATGTAGCACCTTATAAGGGTTTACAAGGTGCTGCGGCGTATATTGCAGCCACTGCTAGAAACACCAGGGCAAACCCCTTCTCTTAGCGATAAGTGTTACTGGGTTCTTTAACGTGCATTACACAACACACGGGACCTACGGCTTTACGTCCCATCCAAAGGACGAAGCAATAATGGTAAAGTGCCTTGCTCAAGAGCAAAAGCACCATGTTCTCATGGTCAGGATTCGAACCCATGAACCACGGCATACGAGTCGAACGCCGTAACCATTGGACCACAGCACCCCATCGCCCCAGTTTACATCAGTCATCATCATGGTCATTTTATACTGGGTGTATTAAAAAAGGTAATCCAAAATTCTAAAATGTGTTGAAATAATGATTACTGTTAGTGGGGTTGCATCTAAAGGGTGCTTCGTTTTTTCATTGATACTAATGTGCGTACTCGTAGTGCTTTATAATTAAGGTCCCAAACCGCTTCACAATACCCCTGCCTCATCAGGCCATGACCCCATTTCTTTCTGCAGCAGCTCGAGATCAGTGCATTCTGGTCTCTACCTTCACAGGTACCCATTTATACTCCTGGGCTGAGAGGCAATTGTAGTAAAGTGTCTTGCCCAAGAACACAAGCATTATGTTCCCAATCAGGGTTTGAACCTTCATACTACTATGGCGCATGAAACACTGTAATCGTTGGACCAAGGCACTCCACACCTTACTTGCAGTTGCAGCCTATCAGTCATGGATAACTGAGCACCATTGAATTGCAATGATCGAATGCTTCTACAGATGCTGCACCCCATAAACAAAATTATGTTATGTTCATTTTGTGTGTGTGTGAGTGATGGTGAAAGTGATCTGGTACATGGTGCCCTGTGGAGACATGTGCATAATAGGGAACAAAAGATTGTATACGTCTCCACAGAGCAATTTAGGTGAATACGTCTCTACAAGGTTATCACAAAATAGATATATGGATTTTACTCAAAAACTAAGAATTTCCAAGGTGTGTTGATCCGTCGCAAACTGAAGTATTTTATGTAATGGATATTAAGTCCGAATTTCAGCCCAGGAAATTAATTCTGGTTAAAATGGGAGCATTTTGAAACTACACTTTCAAACTCGAAAACTTTAGTACACGATCAACAAAGAAATGGCTCGATCCACAAGGATACGAATTCCAGTATGTATGTTCTACTGCATTTGTCCAAGTCTGAGGAAATTTAAGGTCTTGTTGGCGTGAAAAACTGAAAATGACAAAAATTTAAACAAAATCACCAATACAAATCATCGAAACACTTCTCCTGAATAAAATTACTTTATTTTCTGTCAAAACGAATATGCTTAGATTTCAAACAACACTACTGGAGGGATTCAAAAATATATATTGCAGTTGTTTCTTTAATTTGTACTTTTTAAACTTTGTTCGGTAAAGAGGGAGTCCATTTTGTGTTGATCTGTAACCTTCACATTTACAATAACCCAAATGCTTTATTTACAAGGATAGCACTGGAGTCTATACTGCAATAAACCCATCACAATATTTGCAACTTTTTACAATTTGAATTGTAAAAAGGCAAAGGAAAAGTTGGTTGTTCAAACTCAACCCTGATACCAAACATAGTTAAAGAATTTGCTATGCTATGGGCTCCGTGCACAAGTACCCCCTCAACGGTAAGAATGGGAGAGTTGGGGGAGACCACTGGGAGAGACATTGGAACGCATTGCTGACAATGCCTGACGCTCGCGCGAAGATGCTATATGGTTTTGTGTAATAGAATATTACAAGTCGTGCACACGCAGTGTGTCCCGTTTGGTGGGGGCTCTCGGAAGTGGTGAATAAGCGCCCTCTATCTTTCGCGCAGGGAGCCCATACAGTACAAAACACGTATGTGTTCGTGCACCATGCTTTTTGAACATGTAGTCTTGGTTTTGGATTTGATTTGGGTTATGGTTAGGGTTAGGGAACATCAGTTGTTCCCCTGATGCAGACTTGTACGACTCATGACTCGAACTCGAGTTTGACTCCAGTGTCATTTTCCGTGACTCGGACTCAGGCTCCAGTCACGATGACAAATGATTCGGATTCGGACTCGACCCTGCGGACTCGGACTTGGACTCGACCTGTATGACTCCGGACTCGACCAAATATACCACAAATCACTTTCTTTCTTTTTTCAACAATATAATTACAAATCATTTTGAAGACGGTCCTCTCCTGAGCAAGCGATACAGTCTGCGCGGTGCAGAGGAAACACATCTAAATACTGCACATAAACAACGCGTGCAGCTGGCTTGTTTCCAATATACGGATGTGGGAAATCAATGTATTGAAACATGTACCTCAGCGTCCACACTTGATATTGTGTAAATGCAACCTTGATAGTGTTTGGTAAATGCAAGCTTGATAGTGTTTGGTACC